CGGCAGAGAGGGGTGGGTAATGGAAGTCAGGGCAGGGATCGGCAGAGGGGCGGGGGATGGAAGTCAGGGCAGGGATCGGCAGAGGGGGTTGCGGACCCTGGGCGGTTGGTTAGGTGAATGAGTCCATGGGCTGGATAAATAAGAACCTTCAGACTATGGGGAACAGCTGTGTAAAATTGCAGACAGTTGGACCCGGTGATGAGCTCACTTCAGTTGTATTTCAAGGCTGGAAGTGTTTTACCGGGACGGCCAAGCCAACTCCGTTTTTGACTTCAAGCCCCATTCATAGGCCGGGAGCTTTCCGGGGAGAGTAGAATTTGGTTACCATTGCAAATCTGTTGCCTTCGGCTGCCCAGGATTCCAGGCGCAGAGGTCACATATACACAGAAGGGAGGCGGCCTGATACTAGGCTAGTGGTCAGGAATTGGCTTGAGAAATGTGGTACTGTCATATGGAACGTTGTCTTACCATCTCAACATCTTTTCAGTTTCCAGTCCCAGCACCAGGCAAAACTCTACCTGCAAGGCCCGCTCCTGTACCCAAGAAGGTGGAAGAGGAGGAGGAGGAGGATGATGATGACGATGATGATATTGACTTGTTCGGCAGCGATGAAGAGGAGGATGATGGAGAAGCAGCCAGGATCAGAGACGAGAGAGTGAAGCAGTATGCAGAGAAGAAATCCAAGAAGCCGGGACTCATAGCCAAGTCCTCCATCTTGCTTGACGTGAAGCCGGTGCGTCTAGAGCCGTCTGGTTATACACCTATACGCCGATATGGGACACGTATACGCCGATATGGGACACGTATACGCCGATATGGGACACGTATACGCCGATATGGGACACGTATACGCCGATATGGGACACGTATACGCCGATATGGGACACGTATTTCTAATGTAGTTACCTTAAAGTACTTAAAAAAAACGTACGATCTGCCCATCTTGGACAGGCAGATCGTACTTGCGATCATCGCAAGCCGCGCCCCGCTGAGGGGCGGGCTTGCGATGACTGCAATGAGGGGCGGGCTTGCGATGAGGGCAAACGGGCAGTGTGCGCGTGCGCACACCGGCCCGTTCGGCAGTTGTCGAACAAGCAGGCCACTAACTCGCCGAGAATCGTACGATTCCCGGCAGGTTTTCAAGCCTGCTTGTTCGATGGAAGACGTGCGACCGTACAGTAGAAACGGTCGCACGCCTTCCATACATTGCACGATTCTCGTACGATCGCGGGATTTCCTGCGATTCTCGTACGAGAATCGTGTAGTGTATGGGCACCTTTTATACTAAGGAAATGTTAGTCCTGGTAACCAAGAAAAACACAACTTTGTTATTGTTGAATGAATGTGGGGGGGGGCGCGTGTAGTGTTAGTAGGTTGGCAGCTTTTCTTCAAGTGAAAGCCGAACACTCTAGCACTGTGTGCAGCAATTTGTTTTTTGGGAGAATATAGAGGGAGGAGGGGAAGCCAGGAGAGCGAGCAAGAGGAGACAGCCAGAGGAGGGAGGGAGGAGACCATCTAAAGGGGACTACAGCAGTACAAAGTAATATGAAGCTACATACTCTGTGCTTTTCTGGGTGCCCTGATGTCTCCAGGTGGGCTATGCGGCTCCTAGGTGGGCTATGGGGCTCCTAGGTGGGCTGTGGTGTCTCACCAGGGGTTCCGCAGGTAGCAAGGTGTCGGGGAGGAGGAGAAGGCGATGTGCAGGCAGACTGTGCCTGTTTACAGGCGCCCGCAGCTCAGAGGGAGATGCGGTTTCAGGAAGATGCGGCTGCTCGAGGTCGCGCTTGCTGGGATCCTCGGCAGCCTCATCTGTCAGAAAAGTCGAAGTGCCGGACGCCCGGACACGACACTAAAACTGGACTGTCCGTGTTAAAACCGGATGGGTGGCGACCCTAGGTGTTAGGTGCATACCAGTTGGTTGCAGAGGGATCACTGCTCTCAAATTTCAGTTGCCTTATCTGCAGCCCACTGCCCCACGAAGAGGAGTTTATATTGGCTCTGGAGCTCTACATTGTGTATATTCTTCACTAGTTAACAGTGCGTTCTCCCCCTCCTCCCGCATCCCTGTGTGTTCCATGGCAGTACGACTTGGGTCATGATTTAATGGCCAAGGACAAATCTGGGTCCTGAGGTTACACAGGTTCAGAACCTCTGCATTAGACCTTTGTTCTATATAACAGGCATTTGGGTTCTATTCTCTGTGGCTGCTGCTTGAAATGTTCCGATTTCTGATCCCGATGTGTTTTGTGCTTGCAGTGGGATGACGAGACGGACATGGCAAAGCTGGAGGAATGCGTCCGCACTGTTCAGATGGACGGTCTGCTGTGGGGCTCCTCCAAGCTGGTCCCTGTGGGCTACGGCATCAAGAAGCTGCAGATACAGTGCGTGGTGGAAGATGACAAAGTGGGCACTGATATGCTGGAGGAGGAGATCACAAAGTTTGAGGACTATGTAAGTTCTGGCAGGAGCGGTAACGCACACATTACACCGCCCCATGTAAACCCCCCGTTCATGTTATTTGGTGCTATTGTGGTATCTGCCACACCGCAGGCCCCAGGGATCTTCTGTGTGCAGTCAGTACAATCCCTTCCATGTTGTGCCATTAAAGTAAACCTATCCTGAGAGAGATGGAGCACACCGGTGCTCGCCTGAACACGGTAATTCATTGGCTGTGTTTTTGACTTTAATATTTAAGTGTGAAACCTAGAACAGGCATGGAGGAGAAGAAAGTCAGAATGGGCATTGCGTTTGACTGGCGGAACAGATGGGAAGGGGGCGGGTACAGCTGGCTCTGCCTCTAGATAGGCAGAGCCAGCTGTCAATCACGCAGCTGGGTGGATCTCAACATTGTCGGGATCCGGCTGCGGCGGTCTCGGTACACCGCTGTAGCTCGCTTTATACTGAGCTGTGGGTCACGGGAGGAGGTTAGTATATATCCTCCTGTGACCCCCTGAGAGAACTATGGGGAAAAACATTTACCCCATAGTTCTCCTTTAATGACTAGTATACTTGCATGCTTCTCCAACAACTTGGCCCAGTTGTTGTTGTTATACAGGATTTATAGAGCTCCAACAGTGTGCGCAGCGCTTTACAATATAAGGAAGACATTACAAGACAAAATGGTAAGGAGGGCCCCGCCCCTGAGGGCTTACAATCTAAAAGGGAGGGGCCAGTGATACATGATGAGGGAGCTGTGTGGGGATGAATTGTCTGGGAACATGATGGTTGAGTGGTTAGGTTGAGGTGGGATCGGCTTCCCTGAAGAGATGAGTCTTTAGGGATCACCTAAAGGCAGTCAAGGTGGGAGATAGACGGACATGTTGGGGTAAAGTTGTGGTTGGTATGGACCTTTCCAGGCTTGCCAAGCTCATAGTATGCTTCAAATTAAAAAGGGGAACGGAGATGTGACTCCAAACAAAACTTGGCTGGTAACACTGGTAACTTCAGGTGGTGTTGGGACAGATGGGTAGAGAGCGGATGATGGTCACATGAGGGTAGAGAGCGGATGATGGTCACATGAGGGTAGAGAGCGGATGATGGTCACATGAGGGTAGAGAGCGGATGATGGTCACATGAGGGTAGAGAGCGGATGATGGTCACATGAGGGTAGAGAGCGGATGATGGTCACATGAGATTTGCAGAGACCTGGATTGTACTGCGCTTGGGTCACTGTTGTGACTGGGCTGGCGGCACACTAAATTGCACCACAACACAGATACATCTGACGCACATGTAGGTGTTGCGGTGCGCTGGTAAAGAGCGATAAGCTGCCATTAACATCAGTGGCTAACCGTGCGACCCGTCGGATTGTGCCACCTTGTTCCACTCCTTGTATAGCAGGCCCCCGTACAGTGCTATGGTGATGACCTCGGTCTGTTCTGTGTTTCAGGTGCAGAGCGTGGACATTGCAGCATTCAACAAGATCTAATATAACCGAACGGCCGGACTGACCAATAAAAAGCAATGAAACCTCCGCGCCGCGTCCGAGTATTTATTATTGATAAGGATTTGTTTAGTTCCTGTGCGGTGGAAGGTCTATAGAAGGGGAGTGTGTACAGCTGTCATCTCCTTATCAGTTGTCCCATTAATCATTCATCCTCATTATGGCTTGTACCGTTTTCTGTATAATCTTCCTACGGCACCGCACACATGAACACCTCTCTTCAGTCCAACACGTGCAACTCCAGCAAAATGTTTTAGTTGTAGATCCGGTAGTACCATGTTTCCCCGAAAATAAGACGGTGTCTTTTATATATTTTTTTTTTCCATGAAAAAAGACACTAGGTCTTATTTTCGGGGGATGTCTTATGTACCTGGCTGCAGCTGTCCGCTCGTGCGGGTGGGCGTGCCTGGCGGGGGGAGGGAGCTGCGGCCGCTCTAATGCCGTCCAGGGAGCCAGACAGGTGGGCGTGCCTGGCGGGGGGAGGGAGCTGCGGCCGCTCTAATGCCGTCCAGGGAGCCAGACAGGTGGGCGTGCCTGGCGGGGGGAGGGAGCTGCGGCCGCTCTCCGCTCTAATGCCCCGTTCACATTGAGCGATTTATCGCGCGGTAATTTTCGCGGCAAATTACCGCGCGATATCGCGCTCCAATGCATTTCAATGGGGCAAAGGGTCCTGCTGTCGCGGGTCGTGTGTCGCTACAGCAGGACCCTTTTTGGAGTGGATTTAGCCGCGATTCAAGCTTGCTCAATGCAAGCTTAAACGCGATATCGTGCGGCAAACGCGCGATTTGCATATCGCGCAGTGGCAACGGGGCCTAATGCTGTCCAGGGAGCCAGACAGGTGGGCGTGCGGGGGGGAGGGAGCTGCGGCCGTGACATGTAAAATGTAATTATACGGTGCAGCTACCCTGAAAGTAAGACCTAGCGCCATCAGGGATTTCTGTAATATAAGACCTACCACCGAACTAGGTCTTATTTTCGGGGTAGGTCTTATATTACAGAGATCCCTGAAGATGGCGCTAGGTCTTATTTTCGGGGAAACGCGGTAGTTGTTTACAACGTCGGCCATCAATTTGTGCAGAAAGTTGCGGTTTAGATAATACCGGTTATTGGCCAACTTGACCCCTCGGGGCCTTTTTATTACAAATTCCCCCTAGAGTCCCTGTGTTTTTTTTTTTCTATCTCAGCAATGCCTTGGTTCCATAATTCATTTCCCAGGAGAGGGAGGGGTTCTGCCAACCTAAAACATGAAATGCATCCTCTACTATTAAAATAAGAGGCCATTCCTCTTGTCCACCTCAGTTTTTGTGTTTCCTCAGGCCCAGCAGGAAGACCGGTTTTGTCTGAAGGTTCTCATCCAGGTCACATGGCATATCTGTAAAAAAAGAAGTCAAGGCAACTGGACTCGCTGTATTTTTCTCGAAGACGTTTCACTTGTCATCCGACCAGCTTTTTCAATTCAGAATGACTTGTACAAAAATTCTGGGAATAAATTTGGTGAATGTCGCTCCAATCCACATAATCTGTTAGGCACAACCAGCGACATTCACCATATTTATTCCCAGATAATTTTTGTACCAGTCATTCTGAATTGAGAAAGCTGGTCAGATGACAAGTGAAACGTCTTCGAGAAAAATACAGCAAGTCCAGTCGCCTTGACTTCTTTTTTTACAGATACAGTTGGGTTTTGTTTTATCTGTAGGCCTGCATGCTAGGTGCGGGGGCCTCCCAGTTATGCTGTCCCAAGGGGTCTTAGCCTTTTGGCTAAGATCAAGTGTAGTATCCGTTCTTATCAGTTGCCGGAGGGGAAATGTTCCCACCGCCATGTATAGGGGTGTGCCTTGCCTAGTACCCTCTGGCGTAATTGGTGGGTGCCGGATGGGCTATTTTTTGCACTACGCCTCCAAGACAGGCCTTATGGCTAGTCTGGGGCAATATTTTTGCACTCCGGCCCCTAAGGCCTGTCAGCGTGGTGCACTGGAACTATTTATTGCACGATTGGCACTTTTTTATTTTTTTTAAGTTTGACCCACAGATTGCTTAGGGTGCAGGTTCCTTCGGGGCCTTTTCCCGACGCTAGGGAGGATATTCTGTGCCCTTCTATAGGGTTCTCTGTCTCCTCCCACAACCCAGTACTGTGAGGGACACCTGTTCCGGCAGGTCCCCAAAGGATCGGGGTCCGCGTGCCTTCGGGTAGGTGGACCAACAGTCTCAGCCCCTGCCGGGAGCCTTGCGCCCCGGGGGGTCCGCCGCGGGGGGGCCCCCGCGCCCGGGGGGGGGGGGGGGGTCGGGAATCGAGGTCCCTTTATTGAAGGACCTTGTGCACGTTTTTGTGCGCTGTGATTTCACGGTTCATTTTTAGACGCACGTTCCACGGGCTAACGCTCTCTGGGTTTCAGATGCTGCGAGGTCTGTGTGCGCCAATTATCCACACCTGGAATGTTTTTACGGTGTGCAGGGCTGGAACATGAAGTCCTGCTTAAGCCAGACTCGGCGTGGCTTTCCTTACAGCTGCGTGACATTTGGTGCCTCCATGATGGTTGACGTAAGCCACAATGGCGTAGGGGCGGTCACCTGACAAGAATCCAGTCTGGTAGTCCAGCATTGAAGATGACCAAATTGCTCAATTCAGATGAGCATACCCTGTAAAGCAAGGTTAGCCAAACTCTGGCCCTCCAGCTATGGTGAAACTACAAATCCCATGATGCATCTCTCTGAGTCACATCTGGCTGTGAGAATCTTGCAATGCCTCACGGGATTTGTAGTTTCACCATAGCTGGAGGAATGGAGTTTGACTATCCCTGCTGTAAAGCGTCACTCTACCTACTGCCCTAGACGTAATGACGGGGGGGGGGGGTGCAACATGTCGCTTACTGAAGGGGTGGTTAATCCCCACCTCACAATAAAAAAAAAAGGAAACAAGTATTTCGACTGTTTGCCTAGAATTGTGATTTATTATACATGGTGATGGTTGTAGAATTTTGTGGATATTTACAGATAAAATATATTACTTCTGTATGAAATGTAAGTCGTGGAATAAAACGTTCACATGCTGGGAGATTACGTCGCAGGAAATGGTCAGTTTCCGGTGGAGTATGGGAGCAGGCCGGCTCTGGACTGTCTGCTGCTTCTGCGGAGTGCGGATAGAAGACTGTGCAGCTTCTCCGTCACCGCGACCTGCAATGGAATGACAAACCGCAAAAGATAAGAAATCGTACAGGAGGCCGTCTCTGACCACCTAGAAATCGTACAGGAGGCCGTCTCTGACCACCTAGAAAAATCGTACAGGAGGCCGTCTCTGACCACCTAGAAAAATCGTACAGGAGGCCGTCTCTGACCACCTAGAAAATCATACAGGAGGCCGTCTCTGACCACCTAGAAATGCTAGCATCGGAATCGGGCCCGATACAGGGCATTTTGACAAGTACTTGTCAAAATGCGCCGAAGCTTGCGCTGTTTTTTTCTTTTCTTACTTACCTCGCCGAGCGTCGCGTCACTGCTGCTCCGGTGGGCGGAGCTCCAGGTGGGGGTCTTAATTTAGGTGGCCGGGTCACCGGTCCTTTTAAGAAAAAGTATCGGTAATTGGTATCGGCAAGTACATGAGGGGAAGTACTTGGGACTGAAAAAGTGGCATCGATTTTCCTTGACATAAAGCTTCAATCGTACAAACTTCAGGCTCAGAAGCAAAAGGTATCTACTGATTTCTAGTGGTGTGGACCGCTGTTAGGCTTGCTGTACACGCTGCTCAAACTGAAGCCCCTGTACAAGGTAGGAGAGCTGCCCATGCACCTTAGGAATATCAGCCGATTTTCGCATGCGATTGCGGTTTCATCCGATGGGCGGTGTGCAACCGCAAATACTGTACAATCGATCGACTTCTGACTAACCAGCAGGTTAAAAAAAAACTTCGGTCAATCGTACGATTTTGGCAAGGTTGCTGGCGTTTCTGTACGTCAAAATCCATACCATTTACACTGCTCATGCACAAATGAAAATACTTGCGGTCAATTACCGCCATTCGTCCAGGTGCTTTCTAATCATTACCGCTGATCCAACCTTGCGATAAATCGGGGCGGGATGGGGCCGCCCTACGAGAATCGTTGCGTCCGATGATCACATAGGGTACGGCCAGGCCCGGATTTCCCGCAAGGCCGGGCCTCGGGGCGGCAGCGATGTAAGGTGTCCAGTCACAACGGGGCGGGCTAAGGCTCCGCCCACCGGCTCCATAGTGTGCGGCCGCCGGCGGGCCGCAACTCCTCCCCCCAGCTGTCAGATATAGGGCGCGAGGTATGAATCCACCGGCGTCCTGTTAATGTGGATTGACGCCGGAGGAAGTAGCCGTCTACCTTGCTATCGCACAGGGGCTTGATAGCAATAAAGTTAGGTGGGAAAAAAATTTAAATAAAAAAATAAGGTGATTAAAAAAGTAAAAAAATAAGAAAATTATAAAAAACAATAAAGATAAAAACAAAAAAAGTGAATTATAAAAAAGTAAAAAGATAAATTGATTAAAAAATAATTTTCAGGAGAGAGAGAGCGAGCCAGGAGAGAGTTTTTTCGTTGGTAGATCTCATGTAGATCGTCATTTGAAAAGTAGATCAAGGCAAAAAAATTGTGGGCACCCCTGATCTAGGGGATTCTATATCCGATTACCTGCAGCCTTAGTGGCTTCCGAGCCACCGGACTCCCAAGACAAGAGACCGTTTTGACCCTTAATTATTATACAGGACCCTTCATGATGCAGAACGCACCTCTCTGAACCCAGGAGGATCAGACCATTTCTTCTAGAAGTATTGTTTTCAGCCTTGGGTCATGTGACACTGCTAAAGTCTTTTCCTTTGCACCCACTTTTCCCGTAGAGTGATCGGCAGCATCGAGATTTATTTACGGTATGTTACGGCACGGAGGCATCACCACAACTCTCCGTCTCCTCACCTGTCCGTTCCTGAAGTACACGCGGTGAAGCAGCTCGGCCCTCAGCGGGGTCACCGTCTGAATCTCTGTGTTTTTCCCCAGCTCATAGATATTCACTTCCTTCCCGATCTCAGGAGGGGGCTCCCCTTCCAAAGCCATCAGGTCCAATAGCGGTTGGTCTGGTATGAAGGACAAGGTGGAGATAAGGAAACGATGGAACAACATTCAGTACAAAGCTTCACCTCAGTGTCAGCCTGACCTTAAGCCCTCGTTCACACCTGAACGTTTTGTAGCGCGTTCTACGCTCGACGAACGCTCTACAAAACGCTCAAACATCTAAATCCCATTGTATTCAATGGTCTCGTTCCCACCTTGGCGTATTTCCGCCCGTCCCTAACGCGCTACAAAACGGCCCACGCCTGAAAAGGTACAGGTACTACTTTGGGCCGTTTTGTTGCGCGTTTCCATTGGGATACAGCCAAGTAGTCTTCGGAAACGCGCGTTTGTCGCGCAACTTTATTACCGTGAATCGCGGTAAAAAAAACGCGTGACAGACGCGCATATGCAATACGCCTAGGTGTGAACGAGACCTTAGGCCCCATTCACACAGAGGACAATCCCGCGATTTCACACATTTTTGCCGCGCGATATCGCGAGAAGTCGCTGGCCGATGGTTTTCAATGTCAATGCTTCAATGTCGCTTGTCCAATGCATTTCAATGGAGCTGTACACATGTCACATCTCAATGTCGCCTGTAGCCCGTCGCTCGAACGTGACCTATTTTTCGGCGGATTTTGTGCGATTTGGCCCCAATAGACTTGATAATGGTGTAGCTCAAAGTCGCACTACAGAAGTGTCACTTTTGCACAGAAATATAAGGAAGGAATGATGTCACATCAAGGCCGCTTTTGATTGGTTAGAGCCCAATGCAGCAGCTACGAAGTCCCTGCGAAAAGTCGCGCTACAAAATGTACACTGTCGCTTTTCTGCTGTGTCTATACAAAATACGTGCACTGGTAGGAATCTTAGGGCCGCCGCATAGATTAACTGCCTCCGGGATGTGATAGCAATAAAGTTTAGTGGGAAAAAAAAAAAAGGAAAAAAAAAATTAAAGTCCCCCCAAAATTTTAAGTAACACAAAAAAAAAAAAAATGTTTTTAAGTCCCCACCCATACATACACGCGTCGGGGGCGCATACACGCAAAAAAAGACGATTGCTTAGTAGTCCATCCCGGCAGCGAGCTTGGAGCGGTGACTACTTTACAACACACACAGGGACCATGGGGACACAAGTAGCCCCCCTCCAGAAGGACTGACAGTGTCAGAGAGGGGTAGATTTCCTCTCACTTCCTGTTGTCTCAAGGACAGGAAGTGAGATTCAATCTTTCTAATGAGGATACAGACGGAGGTAATCATTCAAGAAACTCTTGGACGAGTTCCTTGGAGACCGTAACATTCAGGGTTACAGGTACTCCCAAGAGCAAAATCCCACATGGACTCATATACACGCACACACACACCAGCGCAACCATAAACGCACACACACAATAGGTTGAACTTGATGGACTTATGTCTTTATTCAACCTCAAATACTATGTAACTATGTAAAAACCTCACAGTGGCCCGAAAGAAGAGGCGGGAACCCAGGGGCGTAACAAGAAATCACAGGGCCCCATAGCAACATTTTGTATGGGGCCCCGTGATTGCTAGTTATGCCACTTGCAGAGCCCACCGGAGAGTGACCCTGCAGAGCCCACCATATACTCTCTATGGTGGGCTCTGCAAGGTCTCAGATGGGCTGCACACCTCTGGCAAAGAGGGGAAACGCCGCTGCTGAGCTGTGTCAGTGACAGCCAGCACCCTTACATGCCATAGCGACCCACACGGCGTCAGAGGGATGCCCCGGCCTGGCCCCCCTGTGCCCGGGCCCCACAGCGGCCGCCTGGGTCGCTATGGCGATTGTTACGCCACTGCGGTCACCCCTCGTCTGCCCGTCTAAGAGCCAACTTCCTGTAAGGTACGTACAGTACTACAAACCAGACCCATAACGGCAGGCACTCCACATTGGCACGAGCGCGGTAGCATTACAACTCCCCCTGCTGTACAGTAATAGCCCCCGTATGCAAGTAGGAGTCGTATGTATGTAACCCGGGGACTGCCTGTAAGGTGCCTCCCATAAAGAAATTCGGAACCTTTAAACTGTCACAGCAACAACATACCCGGAATTCACCAAACCAAATCCATGTATTGTAGAGAGAGCGTACCTGACCCGTCATACAGCCTGTAGATGGCTTTGCTCCCTGGAATGGTGGTCTTCTCCTTGTCCTCGCTAAGCTTCATCCGGGGCTGATCGTTCACCTGCACCAGCTGCACAAGGAGCAATGCACAAGGATCCAGTCAACATGCAGCTCAATGGAAACTTGAATTGTGGGCCGTGGTGGGGGTCTTCCACAGAACCCAACCATGAATTCTGGGGATATTAGATATGTTGTATTGCTAGGATCCCCTCCCATGCTGGATTCTCACCTTGTAGACGCAGCCCAGGGAGGGCTGAAGGGTGCACGTCACCAGGTGGGTGCCAACGCCGATCACGTTAATCTCGTTCTTCTGTAGAACAGAAAGAGAAGCGGATATGAGACATACAGTGCCGAGCAAGGGCGACGTCTGGGATGGTTACATAGGTGGCCACATTCCCTGAACCCACATGACCTGGCAGGACCAATTGTTATCCTAATGCTCAACTCCGGACAAATATAAAAGACACAAATAAATGCCGGTAGAAGTTCATGATGTGTGCGTGTAATCCCAAGTCATAATACAGCAGCATGGTGACTGGTCTTGTCTCCGCCCCCTCTTGTAATAAAGACCAGTCACTGATGCTCTTTGTGCAGGGTGACGGGTCTCGTCTCCACCCCCTCCTGTAATAAGGACCGCTCACTGCTCCTCTCTCTCTCCTTGTGCAGGGTGACTGGTCTTGTCTCCGCCCCCTCCTATAATAAAGACCGCTCACTGCTGATCTCTCTCCTTGTGCAGGGTGACTGGTCTCGTCTCCACCCCCTCCTGTAATACAGACCGCTCACTGCTGTTCTCTCTTTGTGCGGGGTGACTGGTCTTGTCTCCGCCCCCTCCTATAATAAAGACCGCTCACTGCTGATCTCTCTCCTTGTGCAGGGTGACTGGTCTCGTCTCCACCCCCTCCTGTAATACAGACCGCTCACTGCTGTTCTCTCTTTGTGCGGGGTGACTGGTCTTGTCTCCGCCCCCTCCTATAATAAAGACCGCTCACTGCTGATCTCTCTCCTTGTGCAGGGTGACTGACCTCGTCTCCACCCCCTCCTGTAGGTTTCTGCAGGTAGTGGGCGGGGCCTGCTAGGTCCCTCAAACAGCTCTGCTCCTTGCACAGGCCATGTACAGCACAGTAATAATATCATTGTTATTTTACAAGGCAATATCTTGTGGCAAGGGCATTAGGTGCACATAAAAGTAGATTTATATGCTATTGGGGAATATATTTCAATTAAAGTTTCAATTTAAAGACTCTCTAACCTTTCCATAAATGACTATCTACAAAAAGGCCCCCTCTAAGCAACCAACACTTAATCAATCCTGTAAAATAATGCAGCTCTTGGCTTGAATTGCATTGTAACTGTCTCACTTTATTTTCTAAAGCACTGTGCAAACTGTTGGTGGTAGATCACTTGTATAATAAAGTATCTCTTGGCTTGAATTGCACTGTAAGTGTACGGTCTCCTTTTATAACCGTTTCTGCTATATAAATCATGTATAATAAACACATCTTGCAGCTAACTTCATTTTTTTCCCCCCTCTATAAATGGTAAGCACCTTTTAAAGAAATTCACCAATACTGAAATTAAAAATCTTGGCCTCACATTGGCCTGCAGCTTTGACCGGATAAAGCATCCTTCAACATGCAAACTGTGCTGAGTGTCAGTGATTGAAGGGAGATTACACAGGTGACAGCCAATTCCACCCAGCTGATTAGACCCAAACCACCACCCCCCCCCCCCCCCCCCCCCTAAATGGTACCAAAATACCCGATCGTTGGCTGTTGTCGGACCAAAAGAAAGCCCCTTTCTCAGCCATATGACAGCGCTTGGACCTTGCAATTTGCACATGGGAGGATGCCACACGTTACCTCATACCTGGAAGCACTGGAGGTTTTGTTTTGCTGGCTAAGGTAAAAGGAAGGATGGCTGGAGGGGCATCAGTATGTCAGGGGCAGCACTGTCACCTTGTTCTGAATGGGCGAGGCGACAGCGTCTCTTCAGCTACTCATTGCAGTTACCCCAAGAGGACGGCCAATGAGTAGTTACCGTATTTTTTGCTATGCAGTTTCGGGCGCCGGGCGAGGAGTTTTTTGTACATTCAGCCCTGCTCCTGACGAGCAGAGCTGAATGTACAGTGGGAGCCGCTGCTCGTTTAATACAAGTGATCTCATTAGATCACTTGTATTAAATCGAGCGGCGGCATGTACACCCCCCCGCCGTGGTTTTCGGGGTCCTCCGCTCCCCCATAGGAGCTCACCATAGAGCCCCTTGAGCAGACGAAGAACGTCGTTCAGCGTCTGCTCTGTGTGATTACTGAGACAGCGCCACCTGTCTCAGCGGTCACCAACTGCAGCTTCTGTGACAGAAGCCCTGCGTCCTATCGTCCGGAGCGCCTCATAGAGCGTGAAATACGGTACATCTCTCTGCACAGGGAGATGGGACAAAGCGGCACCCAGCCTTAGAGCGGCACCAGGATGCCAGAACCTCACCGCCTGGGTCAGGAGCTTCAGACTTTTTTCACTGATGTTGTTACTGACAGCAATGGACAAGGTTTCCAAAGCCGGAACATCGAATCTGTGAAAATAAAAAAAGATTGCATGCATCAAAACGCTTTTCGAAACGGCGCCAGCGCATTCCATCTATCCTTTACAATATGATAAAAAAAGCTCTAAAGAGGTTCAATGCAATAATAAAATATGTCTCTGCTCCAGAACACAGACACCCACCTCTCCGCACAGCGCCTGAAGATCTTCCGGATCTCCACGGACTGCCTGGCCAGGTCTCCGCTGTCCAGCCGAACGCCAACTGCCTTGTACCCGAGCTGATGTAATGCCAGGGCCACCGCACAGAAGTTGGGCACACCGCTCCTGCCAAGCCACACAAGGATGAGGCGACATTACCAATGGCCTTAGCTTTCTTCGACAGATATTCATAGGAAAGCCAAGTACATACAACGTTCAGGATCGCCGACAGTCAGTGAAGAATATAAAAAAGGAGCGGTACAGGGGGCTTAGTGGTTAGCAATGCAGCACTGGGGACCTGGGTTTAGTTCCCACTAGAGCCGTGTCTGCACAGTGTTTATATGTTCAGCCTGGATAGGTAAATTGTCTTCTATCTAGAGCTGTCCAAAAAAAAAGTACAGTTGTGTGAAAAAGAAAGTACACCCCCTGTGATTGCTATGGTTATAAAGCATCAGGACATGCAGAAATGATCTGATCATCAACAATCAACACTTCTTAGAATTAGGCAAATAGAACCGTGAATGAGGAACACATGACATGCTACGCCGAGTCATTATTTCCTTTACAACCACAAAGCCAAAATAGAGAAGAAGGTGTGGGTGAAAAACTAAGTACACCTTATGATTCCATGTCTTGTAGAACCACCTTCAGCAGCAATAACGCAAAGTCATCGTTCTCTGTGTGACTATCGAACGCACATCGTTGTGGAGGGATTTTGGCCCGCTCTTCTGTACGTTGCTTCAGCTGATTGAGGTTTGCAGGCATTTGTTTATGTATAGCTCTCCTAAGGTCTCGCCAGTGGCGTAACAACCGGGGGTGCGGATAGTTCCTTAGCTGATAAATATGTGTGGGGTACAGTTCTAGTGGATGTTTATATAATATGGGGGGGGGGGGCGAAAAAAATGTTCTGCCCCGGGCGCCCATAACTGGTTACGCCACTGGGTCTCGCCACAGCATTTCAATTGGGTTGAGGTCTGGACTCTGATTGGGCCATTGGAACACCTTGATTCTTTTCTATTTCAGCCATTCTGTTGTAGATTTGCTGGAGTATTTGGGATCAGTGTTTTCCGTTACATGACCCAATTTCAGCCAAGTTTTAGCTGTCAGATAGAAGAGGCCTCACATCTGACTAGGGATGCACCGATACCGGTATTTTGGTACCGTTTTTTTTCGGTACTCGCCGATACCAAATACAGAGTACCGGAAGTCCCATTCAGGAAGACAGGTGGCGTGTAATGACTCGCCACCCGGCTTCCCGATTAACAAGAAAGCCGACCCATGCTTCTCATCACTATATGACGAGAAAGCATGGAGCCGGCTTGCTGGCTAATCATGGAAGCCGGGCGCCGTGTAATGACTCGGCGCCCTGCTTCCTGATTGGCCGACTCCATGCTCCCTCATCATGAGACAACGAGGAAGCATGAAGCCGGCTTCCCGGCCAATCAGAATGCCGGGCGCTGCGTCATTTCACACTGCACTGGCTTCACGATTGGCTGGGAAGGCGGCTCCATGCTCTCTCATCACAAGTGACGAGGGGAGCATGGAGCCGCTTTCTGGCCAATCAGGAAACCGGGCAGTGTGCAATGGCGCGCTGCCCGGCTTCCCGATACCGGAAGTATCGGGCTAGGCATCGGAGCATTTGGGCGAGTACTCGCCCAAATACTCGGTATCGGCACTGATATCGTTACTAGTATCGGTATCGGTGCATCCCTACATTTGACTATGGAACACTTTGGTATACAGAGGAGTTTATGGTTGACTCAATGACTGCAAGGTGCCCAGGTCCTGTGGCGGCAAAACAAAACCTAAACCCTCACCCCTCCACCGTGCTCGTCAGTTGGTACGAGGGGTTTGTGCCGATATGCGGTGTTTGGTTTTGCTGTGTGTTATGGCCAAACATCTCCACTTTGGTCTCGTCTAGCCAAAGGACATTGTTCCAGAAGTCTTGTGGTTTCTTCAGATGCAACCAGGCCCGGATTTCCCGCAAGGCCATGAGGCCTGGCCTCGGGGCGGCAGCGTCTGTGGAATCCCGACGCCCGGAACATGCAGTTTCGGGTGTCAAGTTGCTTTCTACATTTAGCCCTGCTTTGGGAAAGCAGGGCTAAATTTAGCGTGAGGAAGCCGGCACTTTTCCCCCCCCCCCCTGCTGTGCTAGAACTCCTGTATTGGAGGAGACGGGGTCAATAAAGAGAACCCGTCACCTCCAAATGCTATCACACAGGGGCTTGTTAGCTTCTGTGTGATAGCAATAAAGTTAAGTTAAAATTGCATTGCGGAACCTGGCCTTGGGGCAGCAGGGAGAGTAAATCCGGCCCTGGATGCAACTTTGTAAACCTAAGCCGTGCTTTGTTTTTTGGAGAGAAGAGGCTTTCTCCTGGCAACTCTACCAAACAAATCATACTTGATCAGTTTTCTTCTAATTGAACTTTAACATGCTGACTGAGGCCTGTTGAGCCTGAGATGGAACTTATTTTTTCTCTGAGCATTGTACAGTCTTGCCCTGGGGGGTAAATTTGTTGGCAAGATTGGCAACTGTCTTCAATGTTTTCCATATCTGAATAATCTTCCTCACTGTAGAATGATGGACTTTAAATTGTTTGGAAATGGCCTTACAACCCTTCCCAGATTGATGGGGCAGCAAATTGCTTCTCTAAGATCATTGCTGATGTCTTTCCTCCTTGGCATTGTGATAACACACCTGAATGCTCCAGACCAAACATTTCAGCTTTTATAGGAGGTGGTCACACTTGCTGATGATCAATCAAGTGCATTTGATTGGCAGCACCTGGCCGTTACTTAGCCTCCTAATTCCTATCCAAGCAATAAGGGTGTACTTAGTTTTTCACACGTAGCATCTCTATTTTGCCTTTATGTTTGTAAAATGAATAATGACACGGTGTAATAGGTCATGTGACGTTTTCAACTGAGATTGTACTTACCTAATTTTAAGACTTAAGACCTGCTAAGGATCAGATGATTTTTATTGTTATGTCCTGATACTAACAACAGAAGTCAAGGAGGGCGTACTTTCTTTTTCACACAACTGTATGTATATAGAACTATGGAAGGACATTAGAGTGTGAGCTCCTCTGGTGCAGAGACTGATGTGACTGGCTCAGTGTTCTCTGCACAGCACCGCGGTATATGTCAGAGTTATATAAATGTATAATAATAATAGTGTGTGACTATGGGGGGGAGGGGAGGGCATTAGAGGGTAAGCTCCTCTGTACAGAGACTGAGGTGACTGTGGGGGAGGGGACATTAGAGTGTAAGCTCCTCTATACAGAGACTGATGTGACTGGGGGGGGACATTAGAGTGTAAGCTCCTCTGTACACAGACTGATGTGACTGTGGGGGGACATTAGAGTGTAAGCTCCTCTGTACAGAGACTGATGTGACTGTGGGGGAGGGGACATTAGAGTGTAAGCTCCTCTGTACAGAGACTGATGTGACTGTGGGGGGAGGGGGCATTAGAGTGTAAGCTCCTCTGTACAGAGACTGATGTGACTGGGGGGGGACATTAGAGTGTAAGCTCCTCTGTACAGAGACTGATGTGACTGGGGGGGGACATTAGAGTGTAAGCTCCTCTGTACAGAGACTGATGTGACTGGCTCAGTGTTCTCTGTACAGCACCGCAGTATATGTCAGAGCTATATACATGTATAATAATAGTGTGTGACTCTTAGGAACTGGAAGGACAGTGGTATGGGGTAAATACAGCAAAACACACAGTGCCCGGGGCCTGCGTCCCATTCACCTCTTACATCATGACACTGTAGGTATCCACCACCACCAGGAAGCTTAGAGGGAAAGCGAGGGCGTAGGATATGAAAGCTGCCAGTTCGCCTGTATTTGTGCTGTGGGGAGGCAACTCCAGGAGCCGGCTCACTTCCTCCAGCCACGTCTGACAGAGCTTTAGGAAGTCTACCTCCTCTCCCTGGCCGCCTGCTTGTCGCAGAGCCTTGGAAAAAAAGAAAAGGTGTCAGCAGAAAAGACCTACCATACCACCCACAGAGGAGATAGAACAAGTGTTTACCGGGTGCTTCACTTCATCCGTAGAGGAGAAAGAAGCCACATAAGAGTGAGCCACGGTACCGGCCACGGGGATGCCAAATCTCTTCCCTGCCAAGACATTGCTGGTGCAATCAAAGCCTGGAGAGCAAAGGGATGCAGAAGAGGATTAGAAAGGGGGTAAGGCATAAATGAGATCTCAGTTACAGCATTATTAAAGTGCGTGTCCAATACATACACAGATCCCCGTGTTTCACCCCTTTAAAAGCGCTGCCTGTGCAAACAAGTACCTGTTGAGCTGCCAGAAATCCAGCGAGTTCCTAACTTCCTGTAGTGAGCCGACAACACAGTGCCTAGAAATCCCAAGCAGTGCGGTCAGGCCTGCTGTGTTCTCCTCTGCTGGACTACGGAACATCTCATTATGTTATAGAGGGGAAGGAGGGTAGAAACTTGCTGCAACCGGAAGCTAGCAGCTCACTGGATTTCTGGCAGATCAGCAGCTACATTTCTGTACTTGCAATGTTTATTAAAGGGATACAATTTGGGGAAATGTGCATGCACTGCAGAGATGTATACAGACATCCCTCACGGTCCACCCAAAACAGATATTTTATTGCTTGGTATATAGCGGAAGGTGAACATCAGTGGGAATATCACGTTCTCAAACAATTCATCCCCACACAGCTCCCTCCTCATGTATCACTGGCCCCTCCCCTTTTAGATTGTAAGCCCTTGAATTGTCTTGAATTGTATTGTGACTGTAACGTCTTCCTTATATTGTAAAGCAACTGTTGGCGCTATACAGATGTTCCTCGCTTACCGACTTACCTGTTTTGCGACCACTCGCACTTACGACGGACCGCCGATCGACCTCCGACCATACGCGTCAGTGTGACGTGTCGCCGGCGAAAGGGATGTCCTCCGATCTTCACTGCGGGTCCCGGTAAGTATTTTCATTGCCCGATGTACAGTACACTGTTCGGTACTGTACATCGGCAACGCTATACAGTACTGTACTAATGCTGTACAGTACTATATAGAGTTCCTCACTTAACAACCAATCCGTTTAACGACCTGGTCGTAGGAACGGGACACGGTCGTTAAGTGAGGAATACCTGTATAAACACTATGTAATAATAATAATAATAATAATAATCACTGGGATTGACTTTCATGGACTGTGCACATGATGCAGCCGTTTACGGGGCCCCATACTGCTACAAAGTCAGCAACCTTCTTCTAGTCTACCTACCAGATCAGCATCTTCCACAACATGGGTGTCACGTACTCACTGTAAAATCCTTTTCTAAGAGTCCATTAAGGAACACAAAAGACTTTAAAGTGACATTAAAGGATAAAAATCCCCCCCCCTCATGTTAGTGGAAGTACTTACCTTAAATAATGCCTCGTGATCCGATCATCTTCTTTCCAGTAGTTTTTAGCTGTCCCTCCAGTGCTGGTGGAGGTCTCACATCCAGCGCCGACTCCACTGTCTTAACTGGCACTTCCTGTCCCACGGTGTCTGTGCGGTTGCACGCTGCTCCATAGACTTACCTTGCGTCTCTCCTCGTCTCCCGGCCGAACATCTGAACTGCGCATGCGCCCGCCCCGAGATCTTTTGCGGCCACTGGAGAATCTTCAGATGTTAGGACGGGAGTGCGCGCCGAAGAAACTTACCTTTTGAAAAGTTTTTTTTTTCATGTTTTTGCATTTATCTACTGCTTGAAATCTATCTATCTACATTATATTACCAAAGTGGCGCGCTTTACACCACGGCATCCCACGCTTTGCATTGCACTTGGTGATGTGCGGCTTGGATGCAGCTGCCCGGCCATGGAAACCCATTCCATGAAGCTCTCTACGCACTGTTGTTGCGCCAATCTGACGGCCGCATGGAGTTTGGAGGTCTGTAGCTATTGACTCTGCAGACAGTTGGCGAAGTCCTAGGCATCAACCCCACCTTGTTCTTCTGCAGAGATACCCACTGCGAAGAGGTGATGGCTGCCAGAGAAAAAGGCTTTGTGGGTAGAGAGTAGCGAGAAGACTGTCTCAAATGGTGGTTACTGAAGGGAAGAGAGAACCAGACTCAGGTCTCACCAAGTCACTGATGGGGGGGAGCTACATAGGACAAAAAGCATTGAAAAGTGAATGGCCAAGTTTCTCAAAGGGTAGAAAGCTCACCCTTGATAGTGATGAGAGCAGGAAGGAGAGAATCTGTCCAACGCAGAAACGTCTAGGGAGAAAGCCCCGAGATGAACACCAAGTGAAGCACGCCTTCCATGTCAGATGACAGACCTCGCAGGAAGTAGACTTCCTTGTTTTCAGCACTGTAGCAGACTCGGATACCCCTTGTCCCCCCGAAACCTGGACTCCCAACAGCCATGCCGCTAAAGCCAGCAACTGTGAAGCCGGACGGCAAATCGGTCCTTTGGACAGATCCTGATGATCAGGAAGTGCCCACAGAGCGCCTGGCAGGAGTCTTACCACGTAAGTGTACAACATCCGCCTGGGCCGGTCCGGAGCAATGAGAAATCACCAGAAGGCGCTCCATCTCAATCCTGCAAAGCAGACACGGTAAGACGTTTCAGGGGAGGAAATGCAAAACTCAGGCCCGTCAAAGACAAGCTCAACAGCCAAGGACTCTGCTATCAAAGCTTGAAGGCCACTATGGCTCCGGGCAAATCTGCTGCAGAGAATGCGGAAGCGCTCGTAGCCACCAAGATCGGAGTCAGCAAATAGCTGAGCGATTCAAGTCATAAAGTGTTGCATGACCGTGGTAAAAAAGCGTCCAGCCGCACCCGACAGAGCTAAAACAGAGGACTCAGAGGACACAAAAGACCAAGGACAAAGAGCAACAAGCTGCAAACATTAACAGAAGGCAAGCTGCAAGGGGCCCCGGGGCTGTTAGTAGAAAGTGAGCACCTAGTAACACGGGACTGCGTCCCCTCCCCCCTCCTTCCCTCGCCTACAATGTCTCAACACACTCGAAAAAAGGGATTTGTGCCAAAATAGTCCACTAAAATGCTGTAGTTAATAAAAATACTCACCGCGTTGCGGCAGCTTGGGAGTCCTCCTTCATCAGGGCTACTTTTTTTGGGGGGGGGATTTTAGTAGGGGAAAATAATTTTTGAGTGTGGCACCCCATGTCTTTTTTTTTTCCTTCCTATTCCAACTTGTAGGGCTCCAAGGACCCTTCCCCATATGTAAGCTATGTGCAAGAGCAGTAAAATTCATCCACTCAAAACTGCGGCATGCAAGTGCACCCTTAGGCAGGTAGGTGACTCTCCGGCGCTAAATGAGCAGCAAAAACCTGAGTTTCTAAAGCAGGTGTAGGGAAACTCCAGCCTTCCAGCTGCCGTGGTACTACAAATCCCATTAGGCAATGCAAGACTGACAGCCAGAGGCAGATGCGTGATGGGTTTTGCAGTTGCACCACACGTGGAGGCCCAGAGTCTGCCTGCCCCTGTTGTAGAGGTTCACGTTTTTGGCAGGAGCAATACTTCATTCGCACAGAACAATCAGGCAGCGAGACCCCACCTCCCACGTAGGAATACTTTGAGGCGGACAGCCCTCCGTCTGGTCCCTGCGCCCTCCTAAGTCCCATTTCCAGCAGCCTTTTCTCGGGGCCGACGGCCAAGCGGAAGCGGGCGGCATTTGTGGCAACGAGGCTGAAATGACAGAACAAAAGAGAATGTGAAGAGGAACCATGGCGTGTTCTTGTAGAGCAGGGGTAGCCAAACTTTCAGCCCCACAGGTGTGGAGAAACTACAAATCCCATGATGCATCTCTCTCTCTCCAGGAGTCATGTCTGCAGGTGTGAGAATCTTGCAAAGCCTCATGGGATTTGTAGTTCCACCGCAGCTGGAGGGCCGGAGTTTGGCTACCCCTGATGTAGAGGAAGGCCGGGATCACATACTTGCCTCGCACTGCTCCAATATACACACGTTAGTACGTGGCGGTACATGGGGTGCGTTGGCATCCTCTTTAAAACGAATGGGCTGCCGAAACGCAGTGCACGGTAAAGCACCGCACAGGTGTGATCCCGACCTCGCTGAACACACAGCACAGTTGTATTCATTATTTCATTGAATACATTTGAAGAAGAACTCTGGGAATTTAAAGAACTTACCCCCGCCAGTGGGGCTACCCCCCTCACTGCAAGGGTTAGGTGCTCGTTGTCTAGACCAGGTGTGCCCACAATTTTTGTGTTAAGATCTACTCTTCAAATGACGAGCTACATGAGATCTCCCTCGCTCTCTCCTGGCCGTCTCTCCTTGCTCTCTCTCTCTCTCTCCTGGCCGTCTCTCCTCGCGCTCTCTCTCCTGGCCGTCTCTCCTCGCGCTCTCTCTCCTGGCCGTCTCTCCTCGCGCTCTCTCTCCCCACTCTCTCTCCTGGCTGTCTCTCCCCGCTCTCTCTCTCCTGGCTGTCTCTCCCCGCTCCCTCTCCTGGCTCACCTTGCTGTATTTTGCTGTGTACACTTATATTCTTTGATGTAATACATAGAGGTACTACAACCCCCAGTATCCACCAGAAAGGTGTCGGGGAGCATCAGCTCTGAGAGCTACTCATAGATCACCATCTACCTAATGGGCCCCCCTGATCTAGAGGGCTCAAATAAAGCAGATACCCTGACCTGATCCTCAGTCCCTCTGGGCTGCTGGACCAGTCCCCTGCAGCCTCCTTCCCTGCCCCCGGAAGGTCTAAGGATCACCAACGTCTTCAAGTCTAATGCAGGTCCATTGACCTGCATTAGATGTGTGGACGCCAAGGGACAGTCCATAGCCGGAGTAGAGAGGGGGGGTGGGGGGAGATGAGGTGAGTGCCGCCCACTGAGGGACCGAAGTTCAGGTAAAGTATTTCCGTTTTATTTGAGGCCCTTAGACAAAACAAGCACCTCACCCTTCCAGGCCGAGGGAGACACTATGTAAGGGTATTTTTTTTTTTTTATTCCAGGACTATCCCTCTCCTAATAACCATTTACATCTAGAAGTTTGTAAACGTACTTATTAAAAAGGAGAACTCGGAGCTATGGATCACATGACACAGAAATGAGTCTTTCTGGGGGTCAGTTTTCAGTGAGCGGCGCAGCACTTACCTGGCGTAGTTCACCAAGCAGAGCAGTGTTGTCTCCAGAAGCTGAACCACCAGCAGAGGACCCCTCACCTTCATCAGAGGCTCCTACGAGACACAAAAATGTCTTTGTAAGCAACGGGAGTCTAAAGGGTTCGGAAGAATTTAAAGAATGACGTCTGTGTCAATCAGCAACAAAGGAAGTGCAATTCAAAGAGATTCAAAGTACAAAAAACTACGAATATAAAAGTGCAGGTGACCAGGAGAGAGCCTACCTGCAGAAACCTGAAGATATGTCCCCTGCCTGGTCACGGGCCTAAGGACGCGGCCCCTGCCTGCTCAAAAGGTCTTTACATTCAACCCCTGAATGAACAAAATCCTAAAGTCAGGCACGGCCCCAGCACGGACCAAAGGCTTTAGACACGGCCCCAGCACGGACCACAGGCTTTAGACACGGCCCCTGCACGGACCAAAGGCTTTAGACACGGCCCCTGCACGGACCAAAGGCTTTAGACACGGCCCCTGCACGGACCAAAGGCTTTAGACACGGCCCCTGCACGGACCAAATCCCTCATATACAATCCCTTAAATGAACAAAATCCTAGAGATACGGCCCCGGCATAGATTAAGGTTTTTAGACATGGCCCTCACATGGACTTATACTAGTGATGCACCGATACCGGTATTTTGGTACCGAGTACCGATAATTTTTTTTCTGTACTCGCCGATACCAATTACCGAGTAACGGAAGTCCCATTCAGAAAGACAGGTGGCGTGTAATGACTCGCCACCTGCCTTCCTGATTAGCCGGGAAGCCGGGCAGCGTGTAAAGAGTCGCCACCCGGCTTCCCGATTAACAAAAAAGTCCCCGCTTAGTATGTGCAGCCTGTTACCTCCGGGGCCTCTCCAGCGAGAAAAAGGCCTTCGTCAGGTACCCAGCCAGAGCCGTCTAGCCGGCCAATCAGGAAGGTGGGCGCCGTGTAAAGACGCTACGCCCTGCTTTCTGATTGCCCGGGAGGCCGGCTCCATGCTCTCTTGTCATGAGATGACGAGGGAGCATGAAGCCGGCTTCCCGGCAAATCAGAAAGCAGGGCGTTGCGTCATTAGACGGCGCCCGGCTTCCTGATTGGACGGCTCGGGCTGGGTACCGGACGAAGGCCGCATTCTCGCTGGAGAGGCCTCGGGGGATGACAGGCTGCACATACTAAGGTAAGGTAACCTTACCTCACGAGGCCAGCTTCCGGTCAATCGCGAAACCGGGCAGTGTGTAATGACGCGCTGCCCGGCTTCCCGCTACCAGAAGTATCGGGCTAGGCATCGGAGGATTTGGGCGAGTACGAGTACTTGCCCAAATACTCGGAATCGGCACCGATACCGATACTAGTATCGGTGCATCTCTAACTTAAACCCTCAATATTAACCAGAACATTCCATCGTCTCATCCAGCTTATTGAAATTCATATTTTCTAGATGTAAATAAATCGGATATTGATCTTAAATATCCGATAAAATATGTATAATAAGACGTCATTTAGGTGCTTCAATTCAGCCAAGTGACCACAGAGTTGTGTATTCAGGTCTCCCTTCATGGCCGCCGTGAATTGGCCCCTGGCATCGCCGTTTATTGGTACCCATCATAAAACTTTATTGAAAAGTCCACAGCCAGCGCACACTTGGCCGATTCAGCTCATCTTCTGGTCTGATAACAAAAGAATGCCCGGTATCTCACTCGGGCTAATAAAACCTAAGTTCCAATCTAACATAACATTTAGAACTCCGGACCTGGGGCCACTACCTTATTAATGTATATGTCTGTAGCTGTGCTTCTTCCAATGAAATCTGAACATACTAAACATGAGTGGTTTAGGAGGTTCAGAGGCCTAAACGCACATTAAAAAGGAGAGCTATGAGGCGAGCGATTTTCACTCAACCCTCATAGTTCGAGCCGACCTGTCACGCGTCGCTCTATGGATCGGGAAGTGAGGGAACACATACCGTCGCTCCCTCAATTCTCGATCCTGTCCCTGCAGAGAGCCGTGACTGTCACTCACGGCTCCCTGCAGGGATTCCCTCCCCCCTCCGATCCTGCAGCGCTGACTGGAGGAACGAAATGGGGGAGGGGGGCGGGTACAGCTGGCTCTGCCTCTAGATTGGCAGAGCCAGCTGTCACTCAAGCAGCTGGGCAGATCTCGACAGTAATGTCGGGATCGTCCCGGCTGCGGCGGTCTCAGTATACCGCGAGCTGTAGCTCCCTATATACTGAGCTTAGGGTGACGGGAGGACGCTAGTTCATGTCCTCCTGTGACCCTTAGGAGAACTATGGGGAAAAGCACTTACCCCCTAGTTCTCCTTTAACCCTTCTGAGGCAGCCATAACCCACAGAGCGGTAAAGTTTAGTGTCCACCCGGAGCCAATTTAATAACACGCTGGTGTACGGTTTATCTAATAGTAAAATATGAATATATACACAAATGTTTACTAATATAGAATGGGCAGTTTGAGAGGGGCAGCGTAAAAGATCATAAATGCTCAGCCCTCTTCCCCAAATTCTTCTTGATACGACTAGGGGCCGGCTCATTGACCCCCACTCTAAAGGGCCCGCAAAAAGCTGCTGCGGAAGGCAGCTAGGAAGATCTTGTCATAACATCAAGAGGTTCGTGTTCCATCAAGGAAGAGCTCCCCTTTAACATCCAGAAGGAACCTTTGCAAGCCTTGCACGAGGAAGAGCCCAGTCCAGATCTTTCTTCGGTTTCATTGTCTGGACTCTGCCAGAACTCACAAAATTCAGAATTCTGAAGTGCCGCAGCATTTCCGTTAAAACACGGGGTGGCAGCTGCTGTTTGGGTGTGTATTATTGGCGGAGTTCACCAACCCCAGAGATGATCACCCCCAGTCCGCGGGCCTGAGATCATTGTCCTGTGGGCTGATGCTGTCACGCCATTGTGACGGTTCTGTTGGATCAGAACCGAGTAGAGTCATGTGGTGGTGACGCTCAGTAGGTTCGGATCCCCGCAACCGTCACAATAACACTCCGGCTCTTTACCTGGAAGCTTCGTGCAAACCATACCTACTCTAGGAAATACAACCGATCCCTCCGGGAACGATGTCACCGTCACCTCCCCCGCGTTCACAGTCTCCAGGTATCGGAAGAAGCCTTCCTCCACCGTACTGGGCATCACCGACCGCAGGTAGTCCGTATCTGGAAGGAGGACAACAGGAAAAAAACCCCAAACACCCCCCCCCCACACTCGGCTCACTTCCATGGCTGGTCGGGTGGGATCAGAAATAGATACAGGTAGCCGGGATTCCACTTTAATGGCGGAGAAAGACGTGGTTTCCGGGTCAGGGTCTCTGAAACTACTCCAGCCCCAGATGGCCAGGAAGACGGAAGGGG